TCCCCTCCAACTGACCCTTCCCTTTCACCTGTTTTTAAATGCAGTGTTGTCTGGTCAGCCCCGTTTCCTCAACCTCCACCCTCTCCTGCTGCTCAGGGACTCTTGTAGCAATTGTTGTGGCTCTGGGGACGCAGAAGGGAAGGTTTCTCTCTCAGAAACAGAATACCCAGCAGCTCTGTTCAGCTGTAGAAATGTATCACAATATCCACCTGTAGCTCCTTTTTACACAGAACTGCAGTAAAATGCCGAGGGAGGGAGAAAAAAAAATCTCACTTGCAAAATCAGAACTCCTTGCATTTCTTAAGTTTAGAACATATTTTTGCAACCAACACGTGGCCATAGGGAATGATGAACCTTGAGAAGGTGAAAGAAAATCCCTGGGCTCTTGGTGGTGACTCCTCGTTAGGACAGTTGGAAATTACAAAGTCACAAGGATTTTTCTCAACTATTTTGGATTATTTTTATGTACTCTGGGGCACATAACTATTGCTACCAACCTGCTGTGTCTGAGAGAGAAGAAATCCTGGCAGTTAGCAGTGTGAAAACCTTAGGAGAGTAGCAGTTTTTGCCTTTTGGGCTTTAATAAGTTTTAGCAGTCTGAGCCTAGAATTACATCCACAGCTCTGACAAGGACAGGGCACCTGTAAGATATTTCGTATTTTCAGATTTTAACACTACTGTAAGTGATGACTAAAAAGGTCAGCGTTTGTTAAAAAAGAAATCCACTTGGTTTCCGCAGCTTTCTCTTGGCAGAAAATGGATTTTTCTACATGTACGAGTTGCCCCTGCTCAGCGAGAGAGCCTGTTTAGAAATTAGCTCTGCTCAATTTATGCTTATCCCTTTGTATAACTACATTTAAAAGGATTTAAGCAAATACAGCTTCTAACTTTGAAAACATATATACAAAAAAAAAAAAAAAAAAAAAAAAAAAAAAAAAAAAAAAAAAAAAAAAAAAAAAAAAAAAAAAAAAAAAAAAAAAAAACAAAAAACCAAAAAAACAAGACAAAGCTAAACTATGACAAATGAGACTTAAATCTTTTTTACAGCAGTTTAATTAAGTTAATTTGAAAGTAGAGGGGTTTTTTTAAGTATGTTTCCTATTGATCACTCCAGAGTGCCTGGAAGGAATCTGTTTCAATACTTCCATGTTGGTTGGAAATCAGGGATGGAGAATTTCTTGTACAGTGTAGGCAGGGGTCCTTCCACTTCAAGCCAAGCTGATAAATAAGTTGGAGCCACGGTAGAAGATTGATTTCAACAGTTTGTGTTGGCTTGAATTTTGGAAGTAATGGTCGGAAAGTGGTGACAGGTCTGAAAAAACCAAGTCATTTAATCCGTTAACAAGCACGATAGATTTGTACTCCTCAGTTCCAGAGCTGGGAAGTATTTTAAATATTTATGAGGGAGTACAAGGTATCCAAAGCCCTGTAGAACGTGGGGAGTAAATACCTGTAGATACACAACAAGGTGAATCTGCTCAGATGAAGTCTCTTCTGATGGAGGGCAAAGCGGTTTTGTTTCCTACAACCTTAGCAAAATGAAAGCATCACACTGTATTTTTACCCTCTTTTTTGATTCATGCAATCTTTTCTCCACTGCTGCTCTCATTGCAAATTATTTTTGTGTTTGCTGTCATCTTTTGTGAAATAAAAAAGTGGTTTGGCATCAAAAATAAGTTCCCTGCAGCCACTGAGTCTTGGCACACAACTTCTGATTAATTACTTACACCAATATTACATGCTTTACAGGACATTTATTATTGGTGCTGGATTCATTAGAGCAGACATAGAATTTTTTTATAGGGCTGGAAATAGGTTGTAAATTGTAGAGCTAACATTACTCTGTTTTAGAATTAGCAGGAAAATAGATGCCTGAGATTTTTTTAAAAAACAAGTGGCTAAAGTTAAACTCTGTCTACATTTTAGTGAAAATATTTTGGTACTTATCAGTTTTGGAAAATCAAATAACTAACTTAGATGCCTAAATAGGGACATAGAGATCTAACTGTTGTAAGAACCCAGCAAGAAAAAAAAAATTGGCTAAGATTTGTTAAAATGTTATTTTATCAATTAGATCTTTCACTTCCTGGTCCTAATTTTTTTTTTAATGTGAAAATATTTACATAGGCAGTTTAGAGTGTTTTGGAGGGTGAAACAACTGTGAATTGCTATGGCAACAAATAACAGCAACAGTTTCCTTCCCCACCTCTCTCCATGTGAAACGATTTCTTATTTATGCACGAGATTAACTAAAAGTCTCAGCAAATGTTTGTCTGGCTTGACGATAAAGAGCAACATATTCTTATCAGCAGCCGGGGAGTCTTTCCCAATGTTCAGCTTTTATGAGCATTACAAACAGATTTTGGAGACAGAATGGAGTTTTTCTCTCCAGGCTGAGACACCAAAATCAAGGGGTTGTGGGACACGTCATTTCAGCTCAGACCCTAAACAGGAGCCAAGAGAGCTGTCAAGTTTGTATCTGCATTTCCGAAGTCAGAGGTTATTCCAACTCGGCTCCGGTGGAAACAGAAACAGACCAAAGGCTTCCACATTAGTCACACCAAACAGCTTGGGATTTATGGCATTCCAAGAGAAACCAGTCTGTCAGTCGGATATGTGGTGAAATCACCTCTGCTTTCAGGAAGGGGTAGGATGGCAATCGGTTTGGTGGAATTATTTTAGTGGCAGCTGAGATCCGCCTGGAGGATCTGTGTGGAGTGTGACTGGGACAGGGTATTCTCAGTGGCTGCAAGGTGAGGGAGCCTCCAGAGGGAGGAGTGGGCACTGCAGCTGGAATGGGATTTGGTATGGAGCTGGGGAGTCTCTTGACACCAGCAACTCCTTGAAAACGTCAAAGGAAGGAAGCTGCCATTGGGAACGGCCCACACCTATCTTGTGTGTGACCTGGAAGGCACAGATCAGTGCTTGGAACAGAGGGGAAGTCCCCACATCCAGGAGCGGCCGGAGACCTGAGTCTCCTCACTTGTGGAACGTGCTACTGTTTAAACCCAGGAGTTTATCTAGGCACACAGTTTAAAAGAGCAAAGGGAAGAATGCTTTGCATGGCTCTGTATCCCAGCATATTGGAAAAAAAAAACCACCCTCTTTTGTTCTTTTTGCAGTTCATTATTTTGATGTATTTTCTACTGGCTGGCTTGCAGGCAGAGCAGGGCTGCTCTGTGAGGCTTAGAGCACTTCTTCAACTGCACGAGTACTTGGAAGATACTCACATTCATCAGCTGAAGCCAGAGGAAAATGTTGGCAGTAAAAGCAAGAGAGGGAGAACTGATTGTTTAAAAAGTGACTAACATTTCTCTCTTTTCTTTCTCCACTGTTTTTTGTTTTAGCATTACCAGAACCTTTGCATCAGGTAAAACAGAAAAAGTCATCTTTCAGGCACTTAAGGAATTAGGTCTTCCCAGCGGAAAGGTATTTATTTAGTGGTTTTGAATAACTGTTTTTGTGTACTAATAAACTGATGATTCACTCACATCTGTAGCTGTAATCTAAGTCATTTGCATCACAAAAAAAACATGCCTGTTGTTCATGAGTAACTTACTAATCACTGCAGGTTGTTTACTAAAGCCAAAATGTAATTAAATCTGTATGACACAGTGGTCCTTAAATCTCTTAGATGAAGCTTCCCTTCTTTTCCTTCTTTTCTGTCACAGACTACCTTTTGTTCATTTATACAAAGTATGTGAGCACGAAATATGCATGTAATGCCTTTTTTGTTGAGTCTTTTGGACTCCTGCTGCTCTTTGCTGCTCTCCTTTGGAGAGCTGCTGTCTGGCTCTACCCCACTCACAGCAGGACCCCTGCCAGCCCCAAGAGGTGATGATGGCTGGTTATGGTTGCAGGTAGTTTTTTTGGCTTTACACCCTCCCCAGTCTCCCTTCTTTCATTTTGGAGACTCCAACCCTTCTTGGCCTGACTGCAGCAACCACCTGGTGAGGCTGCAATCTCCAGCCAGGGAGATGGGGGTGCAGAAAGACACGAATGCCCAGCATGGAAATACGTGAATCCCTGGCACCTGAGATGAGATTTTTCCTCACTGCTACAGTTCTTATCTTGTCCAGAGAAGGACATGACACTGAATATGTTATCCAAGCATTCCATTCCTCCTGGAAGTTTCCCTGTATGAGAACTGCCCAGCTTTTTAAAACCATTGCACCAAACCCAGGAGTTCTCAATGTTCCTTGGCTTCATTATAAGTATCCTGAAATTTTTACACTTTTTTGAACATTTTGGGCTCTTTTTTTTCACTCCTCAGAAGAAAAACAAACTGTTTTCCATCTCTGTGCTTATGTAGAATTAATGTTACTGTGAGGTTAGAATACAAGCACGTCAAACAGATTTATGATAAAGATGAATTAAGAACTGCTTTCAGAAAGTACAAAAGAAACTCGGTAAATCTACACCAGGTAAAGAGCTTGAACCAGTTCTCAGCTGCTTTTTCTGATATAAGATGCTCTCTTGGGGAAAGGGCACATAAGCTCTATTTTCTGGGTAAATGTACCTTTGCATTGCAGAATGATGAAATCGAGCCTGCAGCATTTACTTACGAGAAATTTTATGAGCTCACCCAAAAGATATGCCCCCGAACTGACATAGAGGACCTCTTTAAGAAGATGTAAGTTCAAATTTGATGTCATCTTGCTTTAAAGACATTTTACTGTAGTTTTAGTCCATGTCCAACAGTGACAGAACACTGTAAAGTTTATCTAATGTTGAACTCCAGTACCATCAACAGTACTTTAAGACAAGCTCAAGTGTATGTTTTTCCCCTTCCTTCCCTCTCAGACTGTTAATGTAAAAGTTCACTCTCTATTTCAGAGCAACTTTTACATGAGTTAGAGGGAGCACCTGGAACTTTTTTTTTTTTTTGCATTGGCTTTACTAACTACTGTAATTTTTAACTTGCTCCTTTAGGTGATTAACACAGTTTGTGAACTAATTAAATTAAATAAAAAATTTGAAGCTTAAAAAGTTTCCTCACTTGAATTGTTCTCAGCTGGAGGACTTACATGTCGTTTTCTGAAGTAATGTTTGTTAAGTTATAGGAGTGTATGTTATGGGAGTTACACTGTGCCAAGCTTAGACTGTTAGTATGTTTTCTGTGACTGTTCATTTTGAGATTATAGAGCTACTTCAAGTAGAAAAGTAGGTGGCTTTAAAAGTATCAACAATGTCAACATGTAAATCATACCTACTGTAGCATCGTGCATAAAAACTTACGTTCTCTAATAAATTTCTTTTCAGCAATGGAGACAAAACTGATTATTTAACGGTAGACCAATTAGTGAGCTTTCTAAATGAAGTAAGCTTTTTCATACATTAACTACCATACAAGTCTGTCTGCAGTGGCTTGCTTCTTCCAGCCTTTCCATTGCATGAATCCTGCCGTTGTTTGCTGTGCTTTTTGATCCGCTGATCTTTCCATTTTGGGAACATCCAGGTGCAAAAATCAGCTCCAGCCTTGTACGTTGTCGTGCTTTCTACATGTTGGCTTTGCAGTTTGCATCTGTTGATTACTTGCTGGTGTCTTATGTTGTGTGTTATGTGTGTTTTCAGACGTGTCATGCTGTTAAACATTCAACTAAAATATACCCAGTGTTTTATTACAAGCAGTTTATTTTACCTGTAGGCCCCAGCTAAATATATCTGCTGATCCTTCTCGATACTAGAAAAACTGAAGTAGGCTTTTTATAAACAGTGGTTTGATTCCTCTCAACAGTAGTATTTCAGTCCTATACAAATCTGAGAGCTAAGAGGACATTTTAAGAGTTTGTGTATGATTTTGAACATGCTATGTGTGCAGAATAAGAGGAAATATTTTTATTGCTGTATTTCCAGAATACACTTGTTGGCAGAAGTATTTGGTACTTCTTAAAAGCATCGTGAGTGTGTGAAGTAGTTCAATAAACAGAGTGGGGTTGGGTTTGTTGTTTTTTTTTTTTTTTTTTTTCTATTCCTGAAGCACAGTAAGTTATAGGAGGCTGACTCATTCAGAATTGCAGAAATAAATGCACTGTGTGGATTTGACAAGAATACACACATGGAAAATAGGCACATTCTACCTGGGTTTGTACCAGCAGGTTCTTGTCATCTGGAACGTGGAAAGCTGCTGAGCTCACTATGTGATGGTTTTGGGTGCATGACCAAAAAAATCTTTCAATCTAAAATTGTTTTACTAGTTACAAATCAATTCTGTATGTATTTATGTATTGGGTACTACTGTATGAAGATTCAAGCAGTAAGTTCCCCATATATCACATTTAGAAGATAATTTTATTTTTCATAGGGAATGTGTGCCTGACTCTTCACTAAACCTGAATTATTTGTAGGAGTATTTAAAAGAAAAGACAGTGAGAAGATTAACAACTTCAGCACTAATGGTTGCATACTTGGGGCTTTAGCTCATATCTATTAGCAAATTTGAGCTCCTGCTTAATCTTACTACTCTGAGAGATCCTTTTGCCTCAAGTAACTGATTAAAAAATTAAAATCGAGATATGCTCCAAGTTTTGTGTGGTTTGAACAGTTCTTTTAAAGGAATTAGAAGCCTTATTTCATAGGTAGCGCTGGAGGAAGATGCATCCTGTTGGCTGCATTCCTATCGACACAATACATTTTCCATTGGAAATCTTGTGGTTGGCCCTTTAGTCGTTGACCAGAGCTGGGAAATATTGACCAGATGTTTTTTACAGAGTAGGACATTCATTCTGATGGCTGAAACTAATGGCCTTTGCTCTGTGCTGGAGGTCTTTTGGTCTCCAGGCAGAGTTTAAAGTTTCAGTCATGATTTGAAAGGCACAAAATGCCCCAGAATCTCCCTCCTGAAGTGATTGTTTGTGTCTCCCCTTGACAGCTGGCCAACACTGCAATTAGCATCGGTGTTTAGTGCTGGAAAATATAAAAAGATTATTATCATTGCATAGGAGAGGGGAGTTACTTGGCAGAGAAATTCTTCCTGAGACTCTTTAACTTAAATTGTTTTGAAGTAACCCCCAGGCATGCTGCAGAAGCTCCAAGTGTTGTGGGTTTTTAAGGGAGCATGAGGATATGTTACTGGATATGAGAGGAGAATGAGCAGCTTTCCTGGAGTTTTTCCAAACTTCTGTCTCTATTTGACTTCTAAAAGCTGTTGTCTGACAGCTGATTTAATTGTGTTTCAGTATTAAAGCTTCTGGGAAGTTTTTAGGAATTAAGTTATTGTCAGGCGCTGAATATTTTGTCTGGGTCTTCTACTTTTAAAGTTAAATTTTGAAAAACTAAAATGTAGTAGAAAAGTAACTGAAATTACTACTCTTAAGATTTGTTCCTGATGTTCTTTTACAGCAATAAAATAATATTGAGGCAAACAGCAGTCAAAATAGAAATTCAGTAGGCTGACCAGGACTAATCCTTTCTTCTGGGAGGGAGGTGTTGGGAGATCCTTTCCTATCCACTCCTTCCCACTTCCTTGCTCTTCCTCTCTCTCTCTGTCTTCCACTGGCTTGCCCTTCCTCCCTCCTTCCCATTTGCTCTTTCTACCTCCCTGGTTTTCATCTTCACAAAAGGGCCCCCTTTTCACCGGTGCACAGGACAAATTCAAGGGGCAGAATTGGTTTCAGCACATTACTAACTGCTTTTAAAGTAAATCTTTGTCACTTGTCAATTTTACTTTATTTTTTAAACTAGGTGAACATAAAGATATGCTCTTGTTCAAGTGGAAAATATGTTAAAATACTGGTAATGAGCCATGTTTGTGGCTACTGGAAGACTATTTTGCTCTTAGAGTCACAGAGTTATCACAAGGAGCTTTCTCAAGAGGAGATTTTTTGCTTTATCCCATGTAATTTTTCCTGGTTTTTTATGACTAACTGTAGAAGAAAGAGGGTGAGGAAGAGCATTTTCCTTAAGAACCCTCCCTATTTATTTCTAACAGTTTTTTGAAGTGGTGTATTGTCCCCTAATGGTGTGTAAAGCTTGTCATTTGTCACAAGTGGACTGAACTGTTGCATGCCAGTGTTGTGTTGCTGTTGTGTGCTGCTTAGCAAGTTATGTCCTGCATCCACCTGCTCCCATATCATATTCCATCTGAGATTTCCTTAGTTATCCCACACTGATCTGTACTGAATGAACCTGCTGTGTTTTAGATGCTGCAGACTGCCACTGGCAGTCCTGGAGAGATCCCTCCTCCAGTGCATGGCTGAACTGGCATTGGTTGTAATTTCTTGGAGTTAACGAAGCACCAATGCGTTGGTTGTAAGAAAAGAGATGAAGTGCTTGTTTTTGATTGGATATTGGTTTTCCTCATTTAAAAAAAATTCCAAAAATTCACACATAAGGAATTACAGCAAATGCTGATGGTGCTGTGTGAACCACATCAGTACCATCCTGTCCACTCCAAATTACTGATCCAATGTGGGGATGGCCTGTTACACTTCTGAATTCTGTTCAAACTAAATCTTGAGAACTGTGCACCTACTGGGGTAAAAGAGTGTTTTCACAGTCATGTTTGTTTCTTTGTTTTATTGCATCTGCTTATATGCCACTACTCCCTTCAGTTCTGGGTTTAATTTTCTTTTGATGGAGAATCAGGCACACAGAGTGCAGCTCTAATCCAGCGTGGAGGAAAAGCAAAGTTACGTAGCACACTATGCAGGGAAAACATAAAAACTCTGAATTTTATTAGTGCATTAGAAATCACTGCTAAATTGTATCTAGATATAACATATATTATTAAATCCTAATATTTTAAATTACTGTGAATTGAAGAGATGACACTGTGAAATTCTTTTGCATATTTCTTCTAAGAACCTGTGCTGGTTTTTGAATAGTTAAAAACATGATGTTTCCAAAAATTCCCAAATAATTGTCAGTAATTCTTAATTTAAAGTATAGCTTTATTTTACTTTTACTTTTTGCTTTAGCTGTAGATACTGTGTAAGACATGCATTTTTGCAGAGGTGATTGCAGTGCCATCAGTCAAGTTTGACAGTTCACAAGTCCTACGAAAAAGATGAGAGAGAGAGTTTACAAAGAAGAGAGATTTAGCTGTTTATTTTTCAACATTTCATTTGCACGTGTACCACGTGCAGTCATTGTTTTGATGAACGAGCAAGAGTAAGAC